CGGCTGTTCGTCTCTACTAGTCATACTAGTTGGGTCAGCTTTTGTCGGAGGCTTGGAGGCTTTCCTACCTTTCCTTGATAGATAGATAGATAAATAGATAAGTAGGTAGATAGACTAGATACCCTTTGAGGCAAGCGTCTGACGGGGATTTGGCGATGGTAGTGGGAATGGAAATGAGATTGAGAATGGTAATGGTAATGGTGATGGTAGTGGCAATACTGCCTGCTTCCTTGTAGGGAATCTGCTAGGGTCTTCACGGTTTTCATGGGTTTTCATGGGTTTTCGGGGGCTACAAGGCTTTCGGAGGTTGCGAGTAACACAGCATCACTTCTACTTGGTATCTTTTTATACATACAGGGTATGCCGTATGTATGCGAAAGGTTGAAGAAAGTCTAGAGAGTCTAGAGTGGGCTGTAGTGGTTGTGGTAGTGGTATGGTGTGATAAAGTATAGCAGTAGTGGAATTGGTGGTACGGTGCGGTACGGTGCGGTATGCCACTGAAAATGAGAATTTGGATGGTAATGAGGCGCGCGATTCTATTAAATTGGTTGAATTTATTTTAAAAATCGAAAGTTGAGAGTCTGGCTAGCTAGCTAGCTAGTGACTTTGGTATCCGCTGCTATCGAGCTGATTTCGACATGATGCGATTCAATGTGGTATAGTATGAAATGGAGTGAGCGAGAGGAGATTATATGGATAGAAGTCGCGTTTGAGCTATAGTTAATGAAATAAAGGTTGTTTTTGTTTTCGGTCTGATTGATTGATTATATGTTGGTGACTGAGTGAATTAGGTGGCCAATATATGCTTTGCTTGGTGTCTTGAGTTTGGGAGGGTAGATCTGGGTGCTGGTTGAGAGGAAGAGGGAGATAACGGGCAGGTAGGTAGGTAGGTAGGTAGACTGGTCTCACCTCGCTTAACATATTGACATCAAAAAGCGCGCCATTAGCCGCCCCAAGAAACTTTGCTAGAGTTTACCAACTAACGACTGCCACCCCAAAAAAGTTCCCCAAACTAATTATAGAGCACACCTTTATATCCGAATATGTGTAATTTGAAGTCGATCGCTATGGAATTCTTCGGCTCTTGATCCGGTTCCTGCACGCCGAGTCGGAACCACGCTCTTAGCGCAGCTTTGACAGCGAACCACGTCAACAGGTTCAAGTTTTCGCAGTAGTATACTTAATACGGCCCATTATTGCTTCCTACGTAGTATTGTGAGTGGAGACTAGGACAATTGTTTGTTAACTGTCCTCGTACATGTATCCTGTACGCCAAGCGTGGAAGTTCAGATCATCCGGCTTGCCGAGGAGGTGAGAGTTGATCCCCGCTCAGACTTTCAGATTGCGTCACATGAGGCTCATTCATGAGTCGAATAATGAGCGGGATGGATGCTCGCTCCAATACATCTTGGCTGCGGATTACCTGCATGAACGTCAAAAGTGTGGGGTGGTGTGTTGGTCGTCGTTCTTTGGGGATCGACCCTGGGCGCTAATTCATGCCGCAAGCGCTTAGTGTGGTGACCTGGTCTCGGGTAGCTGGGACTCCAAGAAATACGGCATGCAAAAAGCTCTACACTTTATTATGGGAAGTGGGGTTTTGATTATGCTGGATTGAAATCTTTGAAAGGCATCATTGAAAGTGCCATGATGTGATTTTTGTTAGAAAGAGGATAGTATATAGCGTGGGACGGTGGGAGCATCAAAACACCAGGCCTACTGATGAAGGCATATATTTCCGAACGGCCTTGAGGGAATACCAGGACACAATAAACTGCTCTATCGCAGATTCAAGGTATGATTTGATCATTCGGGAAGCGTCTGCATTGACTGGCACATTTGATGTGGGGTAATCCATCCGGATTACTTCTCAAGACCGATTCGAACCGAATATTTGTAACCCCACAAGTCAAGCACTTTGCCCTACCATGCGATCCCCAGATTTCTTACATCACTGTCCTGTTCTTGTCGTCTCGATCTTCCTCGACTATCCCACAGCCCGCATCGTGTTGGCCGGACAAGATGTTTCATAGAGCTTAAAGTTTCCCGACAACGACTTCCCATTCATGCGTGCACCAAGCTCAGTGAGTTTTAGATTCTCACAAGACGTGTTCAACGTCGCAACGCTGCAACTCTGTACTCCGATTTAAACGTCCCCGAGCTCTTGACATTATATATAGCGCGTCACCCATCCCTCCAGGAATTCGTTATCATCATCACTACGACTCTTATTTCATTCAACAGTAACTAAAGCAAATCCACAATCGCAATCACCAATTACTAGAACCGGCTTCTAGATAGTTTCCATCCGCCAATAACCCAATCAGTCATTCGACCAATCATTCAAGATGCCTTTCATCGCCGTCGTCATTCCCAACATCCGCCAGGAGGAGAAGGATAACTTCCTCGCCTCATGGCCTACCGCAGTCGCGGCAATGAAGGCCAATCCCCTAGTGCAAGGCGTATCAGGAGGCCTTATCGTCGGCGAAAACGGAGCCCCCGTAACCGACTTCAAGTTCATGGAAATCATCGGTACGTAGAACACGCACAGCACTGCAGCCTACCCTACCAATTTCTCGCGGTGTGGTGTGCCAACACTCCCACGTTATAGCATTCCAAACTCTGGAGGACTCAAAAGCCTTCTCGGACTCGGACTACATCAAGGAAGCCATGAAGAAGTACGAGGCGTTCGTCGCCGGGCCAGCCCAGAGCGACCTGTTCGAAGTTCCCGAGCCGCCCCAGACTGCGCCTAGCCCGCTCACGGTCGTGACCTACACGACGATCGATGACGAGAGCAAGGAGCCTGAAGTCCTCAAGGCCTGGGAGGCTGCCTCGGCTCTTATCGGCAAGAAGGCCTTCGGGGGCAAGACTGCTGTTCCAGACGGGCCCAGGATGGGAATAGCGATGGTTGGCTGGGAGAGCAAGGAGGTGAGTCGCAAAAACGTGTACATCTCTTCCTCGGCTACAGGCTTTGCATCTGACCACCGCTTCCCCGTCACAGGAAATGGAGGCTGCTGTGGCCGATCCGGAAACAAAGGCGGCTTGGGACTACTATAACAGTCTTGGTAAGATCAGGAACCTGGTCGTTAAGTTGGAGAACTACTAGAGGCACAGCGGGGAGGAGATAGACCTACCACCAAGTGATGAAAAGCTTGGAATGTAGTGTATAGGGTAGCTTCTTTCTGAAAAGGGAATGGATATAGATTCTTTACCCAGAGTTTCTTACAAAAATCCCGGAACGAGAATGCAGTTGCCTCCGTAACTATTCATTCATGAACGCTAAATTTATAGCACGCCTCCGTATTTACTATAAGTAGAGATCCCAGGTTATGGAGGCATATTCAATTGCAAAAAATTTCCGGAGGTGATCGAACTATTGCTCAAGCTGGATGCAGACAATGAGAAACAAGCTAGCGCGAGGAAAGTTTGAGGATGGAGTCGAAATAAGATTTCGACGCCGGTCGGCAACTGCATTCTTTAGCGCGAGCCAAGTGTCCGGACCCCCCTGAATTCGCCTGCCGCCTTTGCATCAATGCCGACCTCAACGACAACAATACATCAACAACCCAGGCTCCGAGCATCACGAAGCACAATAACAAAGTTAACAGCGGTATTATGAATTAGTCTTTTATTTTATAACGACTGGATGTTTTATCTTATAGTCATATACCTATTATGAAAGGCTCGCAACTTATTTGAAGCGATGCATCTATACGCTATCCTCTTCGTCGGTGATATCCTCAATCAAGGATTCCAAGGTAATCTCGGCCTTCTTATTCTTGGTAGTAGCCATACGCAAATTCGAGCGCTGGCGTTCGGCCCACATTGGCCATTTCTCCGAGCAAGCAGCGATAAACATCACTGGATTCCATTGAGCAGGTGGCGCAATATCGAGAGCTTCGAGCTTCGTAATCGAAGTCTTGAAAGCCATGACGAATTGCTCGAGTGAAGAGAAGTCCTCGTATTTAGCTGTAACGTAGGTCTGAATAGCGTTGTATTCCAGAACCGTACCTGAGCCCTCATACTGGTGTTGTAAAGCCTCCCACATGTCCAAGGCTGTAGCTTTACCTTGTGTGTGTCCAAGAGGACCAGCCTTGCAATTCAGAGTAATTGCAAGCTTCATTTGTGACTCTCCGGTATCCCAATCTAGCCATCTTTGCAGGTCTTCTGCCTTAACTGTGTCGTCGCATTCGTCGACTTCCATAGGTATCAAAGACCGAGACTTTGGATTGATGTATTTACTAATCCTATTGGACTTGGCAATGTTGATCACCTTATCCTTCCATTGTTGATAGTTCTCACCTCCTTTCAGCTTTGAAGCTTCAGGTAAGTTGAGGCTATGTGAACTCATCTTCTTTCGACGAATGGGTATAATCGTAGTGAGTGGTTCGGGAGGACTCGGAGGACTCGGAGGAGGGGGGGGTTCGCTGTCGACTGAGCGCGCTAGCGACCTAGAAGGAATCTTCTTTGAGGGAGTAGTAAACTCGTCTTCACTGGATGAGGAGAGTTCACCTTTGTCAGCCTCGGGGAAGGATCGAGGGAATGGGAATACCTCAGGCAGAGTTGCTGCCACGTATGGTGAGCTTCCAACGTCTGGTAGCGTTGGGTAGCGCAGGGGTGATGAAGAGATTCCAGGTTCAGGCACCAATGAAGGTTTCTCTGAAGCAGGCAGTTCCTCTGCCGCCTTTCCTCTCTTCTTGTTGATGGTTTGCTGTATAGCAAGGTTTGCTTTTACTGCGGCTTCCTTAGGCTTCTTGCTTTGGGGCTGACCGTTAGTATTGGCCTCACCTTTCGCTACACCAGCAGGTGGTTGCAATTGAGGATCAATCGCGTTGATGGTTGACACGTGCTCTGACGCGTCGGCGGACACGCGTTTTGAGGAATCGCGCGCCACGTTGAAGGGTAAGTATTCCGAAACACCGAAAGGTGCTTTGAAGTCTGGAAATACCTTGAGATGAATTGAATCAGGCTTCGGGGCTTATAACCTATTGCTGGTATCAATCTGATGATAGTACCAGGTCACGAGGAAGCTTTGCTGATGTTGTAGTTGAATGACTTGTATTGTAAGAGACTACGAAGTAGGAGCGAGGTTGTACCTAGTAGGAACCAGCGCCAAGGCCTGAGGTCCGTGCACTGACTTGGTGGTCAGTGCACCCTGCTCTCCTTGCACTTTACCTAGCAACATCTTGTAATTGACAATCTTGTTGGCAATGCCGTAGTTGAGCGCGATGGAATTTTTGCCATGTCTATCTCTCCAAGTGAACCGCTTCTGAAGCTTGCCGACTGGTCGCAGCATGCCGCCTGCACCAATTCTAGCTGGGGGAGGAGAGGGATGGAGCCAACAGTCGTCATTCCCGCGGAACGGGTCAAGAAGCCAGTTCGTTTTCTTGACCCATTCGCATAGGGCCTTTGTAATACCTGGAGGTCGACTATGAGATACGATGATGCGCTTCCGTTCTCTGCAAGTCAACTTGTTGATAGGGGCCTTGTTCTGGCTGAAGCTGTTGAGATTGGTCTGAAAAGCGAAAGATGGGTTTGTAATATCTATTTGGGCCTGCTTCGGATGTGGGAATGACGTGGCCGCGGATATCTGAAAGCTTGAAGTAGGGACGTCCCCAGTGAGATCCAGAATTTCGGGTAACTTTTCTTGAGGTTTCTGGAGCTCTTGGTCGCCTGCCAATGACACTGTACGGACGATCGTGGAATGGTCGACCTGTGTATCACATTTCAATCTATATGTGGTTGAGCTATCGCCAATTTCCAGCACTGGGTTTGATATTTTGAATGGAGAGATTCGAGCATCTGGAAGCTGGCTGTCGGATGGAATTTGGTGGCTATCGTCAATACTCGATACGGCATTTGATATTTTGAATGGAACTTGAGTGTCTGAGAGCTGGCTGTCCGATGGAAATTTACTCATAAGAGATACCGCAGCTTGGGTTACCGGAGCAGTGTCATAAACAGCCTGCAAGGCTCTGATTTTGGAAATCTGTTGAGAAGTCGCAGAGTAGTCATTTCTTTGCGTGTCTGATAGTTTTGAGTTTTCCTCGAACACTTTCGAAGCTAAAAATTCAGTTAGCAAGCTTTTTATTCGAAAAGTAAGAAATAGGTTCACGATACCACGAGGGCTTACCTCCAAAGTGTGACTTGATAGAAGGGAAGCTAGATGTACCAATCGATGGCTGAATGCCGACTTGTGCAATGTTTTGAGTATTTGGTGAGCCCATCGGGTGGGTCTGGGTACTTGGTAGATTGGCGTCGGAGAACGACATATCGTCAAATCTTTGGGTGCCGGGATGGATAGATTCCGAGAAAAATCCTAGAATTTGTGATACAATACTTTGAGCGAGAAGAGGGCGTTGGGTACCTGGGGGCATCATATTCGTGATGGTATTGGAGTCCACGTCGTCCCCTCGGGTATCTGGCAGCACGAATTCCGGGAAATATGAGAGGTTAGAAGGTTGAATGTGTGGGACAGAATGACGAATTCTGGGCTGTGTGAAACGAGAAAACCTGGCCAGAGAGCAGGATGCTTGGGGATATGGTAGTGCTTGATCAATAATTAGAGCCCTGTTTCTTCCTGAGATTTTCGAGAAAAGCTCAGAAGCAATTGCCACCTCCGCAGTACTTGGGGTAAGAATAGAACGCTGGGTATCAGGAAGCATCACATCCGGCATGCTGTTTGAGTGAACATCATCTCTCTGGGTGGGTGAAATTGTAGAGTCTGAGGACAAGGGATCAGATGCTTGGGAGCCTGGGAGATCAAAGTCCATGTCTGGATTCTTGGTGCCATATGTGGTACTTGGGATGACAGAAAAAGAACCACGTTGAGTATCAAGAAGCTCCTGATCCAAGCTACGGAGTTTATCGTATTCTAGTACCGGAGTCCTAGTAGCCGTATGTGCTGCCTGGCCCTCTGACTGAAATACGGTATGAGATTCTTCCTCTTGGGAGTTCACAGACTTGGCAGAACTAAGAGTGCAATCGGCAACTTCCAGCTTCGCATCCATATCGATTTGTTGAGAAGGTAGCTGTGATTCCATCTTGGACTCGTTCCGCTAATTTGGAACCTTTCACCTTCTCCCATTTATAGAGAATAGGGTCGAGGTATTCAGAATCAGATCATCGGGTCTTGAACAGATTGTCTCCAGTGGGCTCGTCTCAGCGATGAGGCTAAGGAGAGGCGCTGTATGGCAGCCTGAAGTCATTGATTGGAGCTTGAAGCGTGACTCGGTACCATATTCGAGGTCAAAGACAAACTCTTGGAGAGAGTAAGTGAAGCCGGTAAATGAAGACAAGAGTAATGCTGTTGAAGGCAATTGGGAGATGAGAGAGAAGTCATGCAAATGAATAGCTTGAAGGCAAATAAGGTACCAAATGAGAAACAAGCAAGAGAAAGCGTTGATGTCTACTCGGAGAGAGTGAAATGAAGTGGAGGTCTGAGTAGGAAAGAGCTACGAACGGAAATATTAGGTTGAGGCACGTGCCTTCTCAAAATGGAAAGTGCGAGGTTAAGAGATGCCATAATCTGCATTTGTTTATTCACGCGTCAGAAACTTCTCTTCAAAAAAGTCAGTCCAACCACATTTTTTCAACACTCGATACTATAGTAGTAGACGTGCCTGTATATTCGAAGAAACAGCCTACTGTGGGATAAAATAGGAGTGACAAGCAACTGTCAACCCAACTTAAGTATTCATCCTCGTTATCGTCAAAGCCAGCAAGGAAACACAACAGCACTGTCAGTCTCTTCCGCATCAAAAGGACTCGACAGAGATACGAAGGATGCTGACCGCAACAGATGCCGAGGCCCTGCTCAAACTGCGTCCGCTTCCACTACGGCGAATGCAATAACACTATTAAGCAATGCTTCGAGTGTGATGGCTTCGGCCATATCGACCGCTACTGTCCCAACCGTAAGAATAACATATACTGCTTCAAGGGCGAACCATTGGCAGGCACTCGTCGATGGTGCGAGAGGCATGGTCTGAACGACGATCCAGAGCTGAAGAGGAGGATTCTGAACGCGTTGAAGACGAACCCGGGAAGTGTGATCTTTGTCAATGATCGGTGCATTTACAGGGGATGCGAGAAGCACTTTGAGGCTGGGGAGTTTATGACAAGAGGGAGGCAGTTGAAAGAAAGGATGAGGAGGGATCGGGCAAGGACCAGGTCATCTCAGAGCCCGGATGGTAGATTTGGACATCAAAATTATCGCCCTCGGAATCATGACCTCTTAGACCCTCCCCCCTCACGACAAGAGCAGCTATACCGCTCCCGCAGTCCACTCTGTCACAACCGTCGTACTCCCTCTCCGTACCGCCTCCCAGACCACCCTCCAGGTCGAGAACGCGACTTCGGGCCCCGCTCACCTCGGAATATCCCGTTCAGCAACGCCGTACCATACAATGGTAGGGGTAGAGAGACCAACAATGAGAATAGAGCTCCTCCATGTCGTGGGCTGCCTGCAATAAAGTTTAGCATGCCACCTGCACGACCAGACTTGAGAAGACAGCCCCCTCTTGCTTTTGAGGCTTCTGCCGCTCGGCCCGATGACAACGATGTGTCTGGTGTATTGCAAGCAAGAGATATCAATGCTCGACCTCAACCCCAGACTAATAAGGAGAGCCAGTCGCAAATTCATTCTCAAGCTGAAGGCTTCCGAGCATACAAAGAGTCGCACTCTCGAGCTCAGTTGACACCGTCGCTTTCGCCACAGTCGGCAGATGATGTGAGAGTCGCCGATCCGCATTTTGTTTTGGGGGTCACCAGAGGTGCTGGCAAAGATGAGTAGGTCTTCGCTCCACTAACTCTTCCTGCCCACATTTCCATTATTTTTTCCCTTCATATCATGACTGCTGACATGATTTTTGAATATGCAGGATCACCGGCGCCTACAAATAGCGTATGTCCGAAGTCGAGGATGAGCGACGCGCCGACGAAGGCAGCAGTGTAATGATTCCGGACGCCGTCTGGGACGCGAGTGTAGGCACATTGAACGCGGCCAGGAAGCAGCTTATTAGCTATTGAGTCGAATTTAGCCTGACGGAGAGTGTGTTCTGGGTTTATTATTGGATCCATGTAGACATGAGAAACGGGAAACGAGCCTTTGGGATGGGTTGAGTTTGCTACGAGATGGATACGGGAGGGCGGGAACAATGCGCGTAGTTGTTACATATTTTGACTTCAGATTCATTAGGCGATGGGGTCTTCCGCTGATTATAGGAACGGTAGGATGAATGGATGGATGGATAGAGGATGTATAGATTTCGCTCACATGCATGCCGAATATAGTTATACTTGCTATGCACGACATTGCAAGCTCATTAGTAATGGAAGCTGCGTATTCTTTTCATCGTATCACTGTCCGTATCAGATCGCCTGTCAAATACAAGGCAGAGATACTATGCTTAGAATTGGAAGCGGGTTGCAGCTTAGCAGAGTAACTCGCCAGGCTAGTATCCTCCCGCCTTCACAACAGGCTGAAGATTCTTCCCGCAGAAGAAACGGATAGCTCCTCGGCCACTCGAGCGGGCGAAAGAGACTGCGGTCGGATTCGAGGCAGGCGCTGAAACCACACCTGCAGAGCAGAGCAGGTCACGCACCTCATCCTTCACCCGATCACAGCGCTTTGACACGCTTACGTTGCACATCAGGGGAGCCTTGTTTTTCTCACATTGTTGACACCAGCTATCGAGGAAACCAGAACATCCAAAAGGATGTTCAAATCGTATCCGACATCCAATACAGCACCTCGGGCGCAATGCCCAGCGGTCTCTCGCTCTCCCCTTCTTCCATAACCTCCAACAGATCCGCGGCATCTCTCCGCGTCTTCTCGCTCGCGCCCCACGCCAGCCGCGCGCTAACGCACACGCGTCGCAGGTCGGGCAGGAGCCCGCTCTCGGCAGCCTCGTACACGCTGTCGGCTTGGATGTCGACGTCTGCAGTCGGGTCGGTTGAGCATTCTAGATCCAGGATACGGAGGGAATGGTTCGGCGGGATAGCGGCGGGGGTAAAGAGGGCCGGGGAGATAAAGTCTGCTGAGATGCGGAGGGCCAGGAGAGACGGGCAAAAGGTGAGCAGAGTATCGAGGGAGCTGGGGAAGAGGTGTCTCATAGGGTGCCGGATCGTGAGGTGGGTTAGTTGAGGGCCGAGGGTTTCGAGGACGTGGGTGATGGCGTGGGGGTGCACGGAGGAACAGTGCTGGATGCTGATTTTTTGGAGCGTAAGAGGCAGCGTAGACATGTGTGTGAGGAGGAAGTCGTCGCTTATGCCGCCGGCGAGATGGAGCGCACGGAGTTTGGGCGGCCAGGTATACGGAAGGGTGTCGATGTTCTGGTCGAGGGCTGAGGATCGCGGGAAGAGGAGGGTTTCAAGGTGGGTGAGGTGGGCGAGAGATTGAAAGAGCATCTTGTTGCTTATTGATGCCGAAAGGAGGGAAAGATCGAGGTGTGTAAGACTTGTACATTTACTCAGCGCCGCAAAACTGTTGATAGCAAAGGAAGCCTGCGGAGCGACGAATTGCTCGAGATTCCCCTTCAGTCTTCCCAGCAGCCTGGCAGTGAGACTCTTGCTGGAGTTGTGTACTAGCTCCCCCATATCCAGACTCCTGACTAAAACCGAGAGGGGAGAGGGTAGGATGTGTGCGTTCTTCGAGGGGCACACGGTGCTGACGAATTGGGAGAAGTTGTTCGGCGTTATATAGGGGCGTATATAAAGAGGGCCGATGGCAGCTGTGTACCAGGCGCGGGAGACAAGGCAGAGGGCGTGGAAAGTCGACTGGCTGGCTGGCCTGCGGGGAATGTAGGTAAGGATCTGGGTAATGATCTCGGTGGGGAGTAGGATTTCGCGGGATAGTGGTGAGGTTCGAAGCGTGTTTTTTGAGGAGATATGAACCGGAGAGCAGCCCGGGGCAGCGGGTTCGTCGCATTCTGCAGCTTTGAGGGTATTCCCAGATAGGTCCTCGAGGTCGGCGGACATGGTGGCGAATGTAATGTCAAAATTAAACACTGCAAAAGAATAAGGCTTCAGAGAGATGTTGTTTCAGTGCTCAAGGCGAGGAATCCATTGGGATTTGGTCAATCAATCGAAGCTTGGGTCGTAAATGCTGGTATTCTGGTGCTGGCGACATTGTAAAAGAGTCGGCGTGGATGGCGAGGCTCGGGAGAGAGGATAAGTCGGGATAAAACTCTGTGCACGGACTATGCAAGGCTGACCTCGACTGTAAATAAATTTCCATCCATAGACACAAATCCCTTTCCTTCTATCAACCTATCCTCTCTTGCACTCGCAACAATGTCGACTCTCAAACGCAAATCCCGCGGTGACACCCCAGAAGAAGTTTACAATAGTGCTAAACATCGCAAATCTACCATCGAAGCTCGCGTTGACCCAACTACCGGACAGCGCAGCGCTCTCCCCGGCCTCGACGACCACGTCTTGCAGTATTCTGATGATGGGGACTTTGATTATGACAATAATATGGACGCGCTGGCGTATTTAAGAGCTGTCAGGTTAGTGCCACTCCCTCTTTGACCTGGATATTCCAAACCATGTGCTGAAACTTTGCTCCATTGTAGATAGAGAGCTGATGAAATGTGCAGGCAAGAAGCTACCGGAATCCCGAATCTGCTCGTCGCACCTAGAACACCCCTGCTGAGCACCAACCGCGACATCTATGAGAACGGCGTGGGTGATTTCAGGGGATACTATGAGGACGGCGCGTATGTCGCGCAGTCGGTCGAGCCTGAAGTTCTGGAAGAAGAGGACACGCAACTGGCGTATTTCGACTCCATTCTCAGACGCTACGAAACCCTGCGCGATCAACTCGAACAAATTCCGCCCAGGGAAGCCATTGATAGACTGGGACTGGATCACCCGACATATGTTGAGCGCATGAACAAGACTTTGACCCAGTGGTGGATTCGCAAGATGAAGACGCTGAATCCGAGGCCGGCGCAGATTGCTTGTTTCGATAAAGGTTCTGTGTTGCGGTTGTTGAGGCTGATGACGCAGGGAACGCTATTGAAGAGAAATCTTGGGTTGGAAGCAACGATGAGTCGGTGGGTATGGAGTTTACTTGCAAAATTACCCGAAAGAGGCGAGTTGTCAAGTGAGGAGATTGGGGTGGTGAGAGATTTGGGAAAGAAAGCTGTGCTTGTTGCTATTGGGTTAAGGGGTCAGAAACAGTGGGAGGAGGAAATTGGGGAGGTGGATGGAGCTGTTGATGGAGGTGAAGATGGAGGTGAAGATGAGGAGGAGGAAGGCGAGATTGCCAACGAGGACGAGATTGCCCTGGATATGGACGACGATGCTGATGATGAAGGTGTAAAGGCTGCCATCCCACTAGACCCAAGCGGCACCGGTACCCACAACCAACACGCACGAGAACTCTCGATGCAAGAAGAAGGCAAACTCACCGCCGAGTCCCTGATTTTACCTATCCAACAAGAAGCATATATCGCCACTGAAAGCATCGAAAACACAGACGGCCTTGCAGAAACCAAGGCTCGGGTGCTCGCTCGGTGGAAAGAGCAATGCGCTACGGGAGAACTGCCTACAACTCAAATATCCATGATCGGGCCTGTCCAACCAGAGAAAGCCGTTCCAGTAGTAGATGCAAACTCAAACGCGAAAGCCACAGTCGATATGATCATCACTGTCGCAGGAGAATTCTACGGACAACGTGATCTGTTAGAATTCAGAGGAGGATGGGCGGATATCGCGTAAGCAGAAGGTATGTACGTGTGTAAGTATACTTTGCGTATGTAGGCCGTCACTTTGTCATTGTAGTATACCACTGCTACATATACATGCGCAACAATTACTGAATCTAAGGCTGCGATCCCGGCTTTTAATTGCCTGTTTCTTGTCATTCTACATATCGCGAGTCTTGATTAATCTGGGAGTGTAGCTGGATGCAACAACCAAGCGAGTTTGTTGTCTCTTGAAGCACGGAGTCCTTACATCTTTGCTACGCGGCGACCCGAAGTAACAGCAAAACATTGGGCTCTGGGCTTTACCGCGCGACCGAGTGGGCATGGACCGTTTTGAAACCTTGCAAGTGAGGATATACCTGAGTTGAAACGATGCACGTGCAGCCCACTAAGAACCAAAACACGGCCTGATCGCCGACGATTACTTACTTGTAAGTTTTCCTTGTTCCAGCTGCATGTATCCTTCAGCTTCATCGAATTCGAAGCTATGGACGACGAAGAGGAGAAGAGGCTGCAAGCAGCCACAAGTAGCGCGGATGAAGTGGAATCGCAGCGCCTGATTCCCATCTCGGACGAGGAGAGTGGTCCGCAAGATTCAAGCTCGTGGAGCACGACGTCGAAGTTAAGATCTGGGAGAGGACTCGGAAGTCACAATTCGACAGTTAGAAGATGGATTCTGCTCCCCGTTCGCGACCTGGTGCGCCTCATCAAGAAATCACTGCAGCCCGGTGAGAGCCAGCCGAAACCGAAGCGAGGTCTTGTCGTTGCCGTCTTTGGATTCACGGCCTCCAGGGCCGATGAGCTCAAGGAGACGTCGTGGCTGGACGGCTTGCGAGGCGTCGCCGCATTCTTGGTCATGGTGTACCACTACCACCTCGACATGTTCACCTTCGGCACCGAGGCGCCCTACGGAGCGCCCGGGACCCATGCGTGGGAGATTTGGAGGCTGCCGTATCTGAGGATCATCTGGTGCTCGGGACACACGCAAGTCGGCATCTTCTTTGTCCTGTCGGGCTTCGTGCTCTCCTGGTCCAGCCTCTCCTCCATCCGCGAGGGACGGTACGAGAAATTCGCGCTCAGTTTGGGCTCGACGGCGTTCCGGAGATGGATGAGGCTCTTCGTACCGTGCTTCTGGATCGGCATCCTGTCCCTGATCCAGTTCTACTCTGGAGTGCTCGAACTCACGGTGACCCGCCGAGACTCGTTCCTCGCCCAGTTTGTCGATTACCTCTGGGAGTCGGAGCGCTTCGCCAACCCCTTCCACTTGGAACGCACCAACTGGGAGGTCCTGCACAGCTACAACACCACCATGTGGACGATGCCGGTCGAATGGGCCGGCTCGCTCGCCGTGTTCGTGGTCCTGCTGATGGTGAGCCGGATCCGCAGCTACGGCAAACGAACGCTGGTCCTCGCCGTCGTCCCCATCTACGCCTGCCTCTCGGCCCGGTGGAACTACTGGCTCTTCACCACGGGGGTCCTCTTCGCGGACTACGTCAAGCAGCGCGGCGGCTTCGACCAGCTCTCCGGCCGCACGACGCGCCGCTCGCGCCTCTGCTGGCTGCTCGTGCTCCTCGCCGGCGGCTGGCTCGGCGGCATCCCCGGCAAGCGCGACTGGTACGAGCGCCCGGGCTACGCCTGGACGGACGCCTTCATCCCGGCCAACTGGCAGGACATCGAGGGCGGGCAGCGCTACTTCTGGTGCTGGTCCGGCGTGCTGCTCACCGCGGGCGTGGCCCACTTCGCGGCCCTGCGCCGCCTCTTCGAGCGCCCGGCCTGCCGCTACCTGGGCCGCGTCAGCTTCATGCTCTACCTCACCCACCGCATGGTCGGCACCATCCTGGGCCCCCCCATCCGCCGGCAGATCCTGGCCCTCCTCGGGACGCACCGCGCCGCGCCGGACCATCCCGAGGTCGACGTGGTTGAGATCCAGGGCCCGGTGTGGAATGTGCTGGCGTACCTGCTGGCGTGGGCTGTGATGCTGCCCTTGGCGCTGGCGCTGGCGAACTGGTGCACGGTGCTGGTCGATGAGCCGTGCGTGAGGTTCGCGCGGTGGGTCGATGAGAGGTTCGTGAGTGGTGGCGGTGGCGGCGGTGCTGGTGCTGGTGCTGGTGCTGGCGGCGAGCAGGAGCTTGGGTACCGGGCTGAATAGATAGAAAGATAGATAGACAGATAGATACATGTACTTGCTTTGACGGATGCGATGTTCAATCTAATATTTTACATATATACATTTATATCTATATTAACCCAAGCAGAGCAAGGGTCTACCTGCTTCCTCAACGGTTAGAATTCCCTCCCTGTGAGAGTCTTGTGTAACGAACGGGACCTCGTCGGGAGTCGTGTTCTTATCGATGAGGTAGGATTCCTACTTGGAGATCCAACACGCCTTCGCTTGAATCCACTGCCAAAGAATAATATTCCAAACCTTGAGAGATACAGTGTTAAGCAGCAGACTTGCAGAGATCAAGAAACCACAGATGCAGGAATGAATAAACGGGAGTGGTAGTTCTGAGGGAAGGAAGTATTCTTGGACTGCCTTGCATGATTGTTTTCAAGAGTCGCTTGCTGTATAATTAGGGTCACCCGCGCCTACCTACGGAGCCGATGAGGTGTCGAGTCGCAAGAGGATCGATTCATTGCTAGTTAGCCCGTCAAATTATAGCCTCCAAGGATAAAATGTGCGAATAAATGCCTTGCGCACTTCTTTTATACTCATTTGGTTTTTCTTCATCTCTGCAATAATATATATATATATATATATATATTTGGGGTGGGATTGCAGATTCCTCTATTCCCATTCCCATTCACGGACTTTAGACCCACTCATACCACCCCAAACCATGACGAAACATGCTCCCCTGGGTCTCCCACATCGGTCCCTCGGCCTCGATCAGATACCCGTTCGAGCAGAAGTTGTACTCGACCCGCTGCTGCTCGACCTCGTAGAAGCGGTCGAAGCGGCTTGACAGGGCATCTTCGAGCGTGAGGACGTCGCCGTGGGGATGCAGTGTCTGCCACGGCTGCTGGCACGTGATTCCCCGGCAGGACTTCAGGACGAAGAGGAGGGAGTCCAGACGGGCGACGACCTTGGAGATTGGGAGGCCGGCTACGAGAGTGTCGTGAGCGCGGCGGCTTGGCGAGAGGAGGTTGCGCATTTGATGGGGATCGTTCTGGAAGAGAGTTCCGGGTTAGTGGAAGGAAGTCCGACTTGGGGAATAGGATGAGGAATAGGGAGGGGAGAGGGTGACTTGCCTCCATGTCGTAGAGCTCGTGCTCGTTGGTGCACCAGATGGAGTAGAAGAGGTTGTACGTCGGCCCGAGAATCCGGATGGCCTTGTACGTGTTGTTCTCGTGCAGGATCTCGTTGTCGTACTTGCCCTCTCCGCTGGCAAAGCCCCAGTACTCGACATTGACGTGCTCGCGGCGTCGCGCCTTCGCCATCTCGATCCCGGCTGCGGTGACGGGGAACGCGGTGCCGTCGAAGTCGTCACGCGGTGGGATGCCTAGGAGATGGAAGAACGTCGGAGCGAGGTCCGTGTGCGTGGTGACCATGCTCGTGGTGTGGTTCTTTGCCACTCCGGGTCCGCGGATGATGAGAGGAACGTTGATGTCCTCTTCGTAGCCGCAGGATTTCCCGGGTTGGAGGCGGTGCTGGCCGATGTGGAAGCCGTTGTCGCTGCTGTAGATTATGTACGTGTTGTCCATGATGCCGTGCGCTTCAAGTCGCTCGAAGAGGCCATCCACTAGCTCATCCACTGCTTGAAGTGCTCGTAGCCGCTGTCGGTAAAAGTGGTCGTTGTAGTCCACATTGGATTTGTTCTGCTGCTTAAGCCCCAGAAGCCAATTCGCTCCAGATGGCTACGGTACGGTCAGATAGATCCCTTCCAGCTCGCCAGACAAAAGGGGTCTACAAACGTTGTCTGGGTTGAAGCTTTCGGTCCTGGGCACTTTCACATCTTTAAACAGATGTTTATGTCTCTCTGCTGAAACTGGAGATCCAAATTTGAGAGTGTGACCATCATCCAGCGCGCTGCCATTCATCTCTATATTGGCGTGGGGAGCAATCGGAGCCAGCGTGAGGAAGAATGGCTCCTCGGCCTGCACCGCGTGGTCAAGGAGACTGTACGCTTTCTGAGCGAGAACATCGGTACTATACTGGCCTTCGTAGCTCCTGGGAGTCTCTCCCGTGTGCTGAAATGTACTATTCAGATAGTTGTAGGTGTATGGGTCCAGGAGAAAGTCCTACCCTCGGTTAGCCGGGTCAAGGATAATCTGGCTGATCAATCACGTACGGACTCCGTGAAGCCAGCAGCATAAGGGGAATCGTAATTGTCCACGGTGTGGACGTTGAATAGCTTTCCCGTATAGTACGTATTGTACCCAGCTTTCTGGAGCCATACCGGCAAGTAGTTCTTGTTGAAGCCCTGAGTGACAAACTTCGGGTACCCACCTAGCCGGTTTAGTCAGAGGCTTTTCGCTCATGCAGTTAGGAGTTAGACATACCGTAAGGAGGATCGACATCTGTAATGTTGGTGTTGTGCGCGGCTTTCCCCGTCCAGAGAGTTACCCTCGAGGGACAGCTACATAACACGAGATCGGGATTCAGTGACTGCTTGATTAGGAATCATCTGAGGAAGCTGAGCAAGAGATGCTGGAGAACAAGACATAGAAGAAGAAGAAGAAGAAGAAGAAAGCAGACTCCCGAGATACGTACCACAAAGCCGTCGTGCAGTAATGCTTGCTGAAATATGTCCCTTGCTCGAGCAGATGCTTCCTGACAAAAGGCATGTAATCGAGCGACGACAGATGAACATCTTGATCATCCGTCAAGATAAAAACAACATTCGGCCGCGATTCAGAGTTGATGCCTGCTGCACCTGGCCAGCTTCCAGCTCCCGGTCCGAGGTATTGTTGGTGCTCCGCAGCATTGATCCCAGCTGCGATGATACTCGTCAAAACCGTGACGCGAAATACTTTCATCGTGGGATTCGACTAGCGTGCGTATCATGTACGCCGCTCAATGGCATAGACTGGATCGGTACATCTACTGACGGTGCTCGATTCTAGGACAGGAATTCCGCAATGTTAAACTCGTATGTATCTAGATATGTATATGATTTCTGCATCATACATGAGCCAAAATCACGTGTGCTGCGGGGTATCTCATTGCCCCAAGCACGCGAGTCTACGGGGTGGAAATCACACGCTTGGATTTCAACCAAAGAACAATTCCACCTCTCCGCCCCCCGAACAATCCGAAAACTTCAACGAGGACTCAGGAATCGCCAGCTTTGGATTTTCAATAAGTGCGGATGAAAAAATCAGCTGGGCATGAGCACAACCGGCGGGTGATTTTTCTTCTCCTTTAGTTTTCTTCTTCTTTAGGCGAAACCTGCATCTGTTGTTTCCGAGACGTTCGTTCCTGACACCCATCTATTCGAGTCTTTTTCTTTTCTTTTCTTTTCTTTTCTTTTCTTTTCTCCAAAAAAAAAAAAGAGATAAAAAAACATCATCCCTTTCTCGTTTCTCTTCTTGTCTTTTCTCTTCCCATTTCCCATATTTTGAATTCTAGCTTTCCCCCAAACAACACTAAACTTATCGCGTAACTGAAGGGGGGGGGGGAGGTGATACCGAAGTACCGAGGTACCGGCAGCTGAAAACGTCTAATCGTAATCGTTAAATTTATTTTTTTTTTAAAAAAAAAAAAATACTTCGGGGGGGGAGGGGCCTTGAGCTCGCTTGCGTGTGGCGGCTCGGCCGGGGGGGGGGCAGGATCACTAGATACGGTCGGGGCGGCCTTGCCTGCTAGCTAACGTCGGCGGAGTTCGCGATTGTTGAGTAGGAAAGCCAATGAGGCCGTGGAGGAGTGGAACCTCACGCGTAGGCACTTTTACTTTCTGTATCGTGCTTCAAGGGAATGGGTAGTGGGCAAAATGGGGATTAGGACGTGAGAGAGAAGGAGAGACTTGTTGGATTTTTGTTTTCGGTGGGATGTGTATGTTTGAGCTTGAGTTCATTGCTTCGTATATGAGGTTCTGTGTCTGCGAGGTAACACTTTCAGGTCTGTTTTCAATCCATGAAATAACAAAAAATCAACGCAAACGGACCCAGACCAGATCAAGGTATATACACGGAGAGAGAAGAGAAGAAAAGAAGAAAAAGAGCAGGAGGGAAACCTGTCCCGAAATCCCCTCGTCACTCATCAGACATCGAAAATCATCATTGCCCCGACTTCCAATCTCCCAGGTCCGCCAGCTTCAGCACCGTCGGATCCTCATACACCCTCTTCTTGAGCTCCAGCGGGTTGTACGTCTCCGTCTCGATGAACTCGCCGTTCCAGACGACGAAGTAGCTCCAGTTGACGCGGTACGCCTTGAGGATATCCGGGTCGGGGATGTTGCCGACCTCGGGCAGCGTGACCATCTTCTTGTTCTGGCCGAGGGCGATCAGCTGCTGGTACTGCGGGCTGACGGGCCCGTGGTCGCCGATGGGCGGGTACGAGTCGTAGCCGAGGATGTCGACGACGTCGTCGCCTGGGTACCAGGACGGCGTGACGGAGTTCCAGACCCAGATCAGGTTGCGCAGCTTGTGCACGTTGGTGTAGCGATCGAACATCATGCGGTAGAGGGTCTTGCAGCTCTCGGGCCCGTGGGCGCCCCACCAGAACCAGGTGCCATCGGCCTCGTGGAGGGGCCGCCAGAGGATGGGGATGTTGGCCTCCTGGAGTCGGAGGAGCTCCTTGGCGATGGCGTCCATGTCGGAGATGAGGAGCCCGTACTCGGTGGAGCTGGGGTCGGCGAGGGCCTGGCTGAGGTTGAATGTGGTGCCGTAGGTGTAGAAGCCCTTGTACCACGGGACCGTGTCGTTGTTGATTACCTGCGAGGGAGCGTTCCAATGCCATTGGTAGGTAAGTATCCCCCCCCGGGCATCCCAGGAGATACCCTCTTCGACCGATTTGCCACTGGCGTTGAAGGCCTGGACGAGGAGTTAGCATTTATGGGATCGGGTCTTGGCGAGTAGAGACTCACCACCCGCGACGGACTGTAGTCCATGAAATCCAGACCGAGAATGGCGGGGGTTTTTCCCACGTTCTTCTCGACCCAGTCGATTCCACTGAGTTCTGCCTGGCCGGAAAAGATTTCTCCAGTCCCGTATTTCGAGAGGAGTTTGGTGTACAGAGCTTGCGTGACCGGGAGGACGTCTGGAACGACCAACTTGTTGGTGACCGCGTGCGGCTCAGGCGGGGGAGCGGGAGTTACAGATAAGGAGTCGATGGAGTACCATCCCCTAAAGACAATCAGCAAAAGGCATTGAAGCAAGACGGTGCACCTACCAGTCATTGATGAACGTAATTTGGTTGTTCCCAGCATTCAACAGCACCTGGCCCGCCGAAGCATTCGCCCACGGACTCTCTGCCGTCGTAGGCGCAAGAATGATCTGGGCGCCGCCAGCACCATTCAGCGCCATCTTGGTCTGCTTTCCGCCGTTGAGAGCAGCATATATGAGGACCAGATCGTACAGGGCCTGCGTCTTGCTGTAAAGAGTGATCGTGAGGGAATCGGCGTCAGCATCAAAGCCTTCGACATAACCGGTGCCCGAAAATCCGGCGGTGGATGTCCCGACCGTGACTCCATTGAGGACACCGTTCTCGGCTTCGGCCGTGGCACCATTCGTGACATCAACAGCATCAGAGGTGTCGTTTCCTGCAGCGAGGACTGTTGTCGTAGCTACAGCAGCTGTGGTCAGGAGGAGAGGGAAACGCATAATGAGTGAGGGTGGGCAGTTAGAAAGAGTGTGTGTTAAGCGGATTCAGACATTGGATGACAGATGGGGTGTCTGAACTTATAAGTAGACTTGGAACGAGTGCTCACTACCTGCCACTCTATACCAGACAAGCAATAAGAAAGTCCGGCTCCACTGCAAGGTAGGAGGCAAGATGCATTAGCCCGGGGCGACATCGCCGTCCCCAGCACATCGGATCCTCAATGGCCATTGTGATAGACAAGAATCAATAACAAACTTTAGGTCCAGCATGGCGGTAATGAGACTACTCCGTACGAAACGTGGAGTTTCCGTCAACAAGGTAAACCAGGAAAACCCAGGAGAAAATACGAAACACAGGACAGGGGAGCAGGGGAGCAGGGGAGAAGGGGAGAATCTGATGCCTGGCCTTGCACTGGATTGAGTACGGGATGACAGAGGACCGGGCGATTGGAAGAATGCGCAAAGATTGCAAATTGGAATAGATACTTCGTACAGAGTGCGGATATATACGTAGTAAGTAGAGTAAGGATGACAAAGACAGAAGAGAAAGAGATGGGCGATGATGGCAATCTGGAAGGGGTGGAAGTCAAGGGTCCTTTCTTTTTCCCTGGCGGGGCTGTCCGCAAGCTCCAGGGGCAGAGGGCCAGGGGACCTCGCATTTGCAACGGTCGTGGTGCAAGGCTGCCTTCCAAGTTCGAGGCCTCTTTATTGTAAGTAGTACTTGCTTACCTAATCCTTGAGCACTTGCTGAGCAGTGCGTGAGCGCCAGTTACTGATGGTGGTTAGCAGGTCTAAGCCAAGAGCGATGAGACACTACTGTAGGTACTGGGCAGTGGAGTGCGCGGGTTTCTCGAAATTGATACCGCACGATAAGGCTACGAGGAGATCGATCTTCAATCAGAAATCGCACTTGGTACGTACGTAGTAGTAATTATGTAATAATAGTGGGACTTGGGTCGCCACTCGCCACATTAGAGCCCCCCCCTTAAGTGGGCGAAACATTGATGTCTCGCGCAATAATTGTGTCTCGCACCGATTTCTTTTTCTTTTTATACTACCGGTACTACTACGTAGATTGCGAGGAAATCACAACCGTCCAAGACAACATTTCCAACTGCAGATTGACCTACCTACCTGAATGAGAATGGGCAACAAATGTGCGCGTGCTCCTTCAGCTCCCGATCTTACCGAATACCAAGAGCTCTTGAAAGCTTCTCAGCCTAAGCGAATACAGCTAGCATTCGACCCGCTCATCGAAACCCCTTTCGAAACGCCTATTACTGCGAGCCGTATTCATATAGCAAAAACGGACGATACTTTCAAGAGAAATCTCAGCGGGATACACCTAGTGAGAAATTAATCAAGAAGTCGAGTTTGCGAACAAGTGGAAATATACTAGCTTTCATAGCACTTCTAAAGGTCATGGCTAAGGAAAGTGAAAAAGCAATACGCTGGTCTCAAAACAGCTAGCGATAACTCATATCAGCAACGACTAAAACTCGAAACGATCGTAACGCTAAACGTCTTCTTAATCGGAAAGCCGAAAGGGGCGAACGAAATGATTGAAAAAGGCGTACCAGCAATAAAGTCGAAGGATTCTTATTTATATTTTATCCGAGCGAGGGGTCTTTATTCGAGACCGCGAAAGCCAGCCTGTAGCACAAAAGATAAAAGCTAGTAATACGGTATTATTCTACTCTCTCTTCGAGCCGCAGTTGCAAACGAGAGCGTGCCAAGTTCGCGGAGGCCTCGTGTCCGATCGACCTTCAAGTCTCCGCAGATGAAAATCGCGCTCGAACCAAGCAACATCTATTAGCTCACCTCCAAATCAGCGATAACGACGAAGATTGTGAGCGAATTAATACAATACCATCGTCACTCTTAGCAAGAAAGATGCTTACGAGATAAAAAGAGCTTAAACAAAAAATTAAAGAAAGTGTTACGGCTAAAGAAAGGTGGTACTCTCCCCCCTATAAATAAATGTCGAAAGTATAATTTCGTGAGAGATCTTACCAGGGCTGAAACCAATCAACTTACGTAGTATAAGGATTCAGCTTTGAAAAGTATCTTTGAGCCAGTATTTGGCCTATACAGTGGAGTTGACAGGGCTTTGAGCTATTAAGAAACCACCGCTCTATGATTTATGGGCCGAAACTGGGTCCGACATTTATTCATGGGGGGGGGGAGAGTATTGTAGCAGCTACCAATCGGTACGCTACGTAGTGTGGAAGAAAGACGAGGAAGGAAAGAACCAAACTATAATCCAGGCGGGCCGAATGGACACGCGATGCGACCGATTTTTTTTCAGCTTGATTGAGATCTAACAATATAACATATATATATATATATATAAATACTACCGGTAGGTTATACAGTTAATGTTTTCCCGGCATATACTTACGTACCACGTAATTATTTCCGCTCACGTTAAGCAAAGGGCCCCTAAAGTTGCGACGTCAAGTCCCACTATTAACTATCAAAATACCACTACCTACCGGTACCTACGTACTACGAACAGTAATTGGTACGGAGACGCTCCAGCCCGGCCACAAGCCAAAACTTGCGGCCCTATTCTCGACGGGGTAAGTTTGCGGACTTCGTGTAGAGAGAGAGAGCATTACGTAACGCCGCCTCGCTTTCGCACGTCTACCGGTACTTGTACGAGATACCGGTACCGGTACCAACACTGTTAGAATCATACAGTACCGTACCGTACTTACGAGAAAGATATGGAATAATAGTCAGTGCACTGACTTTGTGACCTGCGGGCTCTCGGTCACAGTCAGGACAAGCAAGTGTCCCAGGTCAAGCAAGTGTCCCATTTCAATTATTTCAACTTGTATTAGAAATAACTTAATAACGAATAAAGCTATGATATTAAAAATTTGATACTTTTAAAGAGCTCGATTCCGCCGATTAATGCATTTAATTTTT